GTGGGAAATGGAGCTCGCTGGAAGAAGCATTGAGTGCTACCAGGAGACAATATCTTGCCAGGAGGTGAGCCTGCATATGTTCAGTCTGTGGGTGTTTCTTTGGTATTATTTCATTACTATTTCATCCAGTGTCCAATGTGAATTGTTTCCTCACAATAAAATTTGTTTCGTGTTATTCATATGGTATCTTGTGCTTACCTTTACCTTGCTTTTGTTGTGATGTGCTATGTGATGTGCTACGTTTCTTTTGCTTTTTTTTTTTACGTGGTTTTTACAGGGTTTGCTCCTTTTCCTCCATTCATTTGTTTCTTTTAACTATGAGGCAATACCCCACTCACTCCCCCACTTCTTGCTTGCTGGGCCCATCCGTCATTCGCAAGACTGTAATGAGAACTGTATCTTATTGTCTCTGTGTAGCTCTCCTCAGCATCACCTAGATGTGCTGAAGTTATTGACGTTATTTTTTTCTTAAAATCACAACATAGCATTTTCTCGGACATGCTTAAGGAAATGAATTCTGTTCCAGCTGAAACAAAGACAAACATTATGGACTCCTAATCTCTCTGTCAAGTCATACAGTCTCAGTTACACAATTATGTCCATCTAAGTTAAAAAAAATAAATAGAAATAAATTAGGGAAAAGGAAGAATAGTGGTTTAATTATCCTGGTTGATTGGTAGCCTTTCTCTTGCAGTTGGTTTAGATATTGTGGATATCCCAGCTATTCTTTTATGTGACGTTTACCCACAGACATAGCCTAAAGACAAGCAAAGCAGAAATTAATGTAGTCAGTTTGAGAAAATGAAGAAGCCCCTTGCTGCTAGATTTACTGTACTCATAACACAATGCTACATATTTCATCTTAGAGTTTTGGGATCAGTGTATCAGCTAAACAGTATACTTATCAGACACTATTGTGCCTTTTCCAGTGTCCAGATTAAAAAATTCTTCAGTACAGGTAACACATATTGCAATGTAGGAGTTAACTCTTTATTTCTAGGGAAATTCCTTTCCATCACTAATTAAAAAAATAGAAACAACCATCCTCCAAAAAGCAAACACAAAGTACTGAAGCTGATTATGTTGTGTCTAGATAGTGCAAAGATACTGATAACTACTACTGCTCCTGTGTGTTTTGACACACTGTTCACTAATATGGACTGCCAGGAGCCACCCAGAGGATGCTAAGTGAAATAGTGCTACTAAATTTCAACTGTTGTCATTGTTGAAATAGGCCCTAACAACTGCAGTTTTCCCCACAGATACCAAGTGGACTGCTTTCCTTAGAGAACAGTTTGGCAAAGGTATACTTTGTCTCTTCAGAAATTGAAGATGTTTGGCTTAGCCCTTTCTCCCTTCAAGTATAGGCCAGTCTGCCTCATCTTCATTAGCGGGTTGGGTCTTTGCTTCTTTGCCATGGCAAAGAACAGGCTGGTGGCACAGTGACCTTCCAATTAAGCAGTGATTGCCACCGGCCCATACAGCTGAAATGGAACTGAGGAGTGCAACTGTTTCTGGATGAGAAAGTGTTGCTCCAGAGATCTGAAGACCATCTACTCACCACATTTTTCTAAATTTTGAGGTATACAGATGTGCCCTTATGTTCATGCCAAGTACAGCACTGATCAGTTCTCACACCGCTTTGGATTGCATTCCTGGAAATAAACAGACCAGAACAACAGCAAAGTTTTGTCATACATACACTCTGTATACTGAGGAGTCCTGAGCAAGCAGAAATATAGGAGTGACACTGCTCTTGAACATGTGGATCTGCACATGGCTTTTTATCTCCTGTGGAATTGTGGCAGTCCTTGCCCTGGGTTAGAAAGAAAGGTCAATTGCCAAGTTTGTAAAACTGCAAAATGACTGCCAGCGACCCTGGGGAGATTCTGCACATGAAGGACAAGCAGGGCTGAGCAAGCAGGACAAGAAAACAGAAAACCCTTCCATCTCAAGGCAAACACTCCAGGAGAGACTTGTGGAGACTCAGCCCTCCAGCAGGGAGGAAATTTTAGGATGTTCACTGTGGAATTATTGGCAGATTTTTATTCCACAGAAGTGCAGAATGAAATGGAAGGGAGGAAGAATGTGATGGCATCACGGAAACCTTAATACATATATTTTAAACCAGACAATTATTCATTTGTAAGAGCAATGTTTCTTCCAATTCCCTTAATGAAAATATTTTTATTACAATGTGTCTCTTTGGAGTTGTTTTATTTTTTTAACAGAAGAAAGGTATCTGGCTTGACCATGTGTGTTTCCAAGCGAATCTAAAATTGTGATGGGAGCTTTCTGTTATTTACACATTTAATTATGTACTGGCAATAACATGTAGACTCCCAGAAAAGAATTATGGCAGAAATGACCATATGGGATAAGAGCAAGTTCCACAGAAAAATTTGAATCCACAGTATACAGTAGCTGTGTATTTGACCCTCAATAATGCTGAAAGATATGCAAAAATTCTAGACAATCCAGAATTCTCTTGGCAAAATGTGCTCAGCCTGAATAGCCTTTCTTTTGACAAAGATATGAAATAAAACTGCATCCATAAATTGGTTCTCAATCCTCCTGTTCCAAGAGCATGGTTTGATGCAACTTTGTTCACCTCATGGATGACCATACCCCCTTTTTTGAGAGATGTACCTGTGTGTATCTGGGAAACGTGCAGATACAGACAACTTAAGGATGAAAAAATGATAGACCAACAAAAAAGGCTGTTATCAGCTTTGTGTGAAGAACTTACTCCAAATTTTGAAGATCTGAACCTCTGCACCTGGCAGAAGCTTGAGTGAGTGAGCAGTGCTTCCCTGGTTAGCACAACATGCTATAAAAGCCACAGATGTGCTGGGGGCTTCCTGGTGAATACACAACAAATCAGTAAGTGCATAGAAACAAGCAAGCATGGAACTGCATAATTTTACTCTACAGATCAATATGTGAACTGATCTGTGAACAAACGGAAACTGTTTACAATGGTATAGCAAAGTGATTACTATAATCAGTACCATGAATTTTTACCACTGAAACAAATTTCCGTTTAGTTTTTATACATTCTACTTCCTAATCTTTATTTTGAATTTTTTTCAATAAAGACATTTTAAATTTTACCTATGATTGATTTTATCTACAGCAATTTAACTCTGAGTAGTGAGCCCCCAGGACAAAATTGAATTGTGAGTTGCTTATCAGTGAGAGAACTAATATTTGACTATATGTAGCTATTAACTTAAGTAAATTATGGGATTAATAAGTAAAGAAATTGTGCCCTTGTGGGATTTATCTATTCTCCATTCCATAGCATATGACTTGAAAATATTTTGATTTCAATCCTTCTCAAAGCTGTGCTTGGCTTTTGTTTTTCTAAAGTCATCAGAGCTAATGAAATGGTTTTTACGATACAGAGTGTACCACTGGAAGCATTTTACTGCTGGTAAGAGAAACTACCATGCTTTTCCCAAATCCATATGTAGCATTGCATAATTTATTTTTCAGGGTATTCTGATAAAATTTCTGAGTTCACTTCAGATGAAACAAGAATAGCAAACAAATACCATAAATATCTGCTTTTCCACAGGGAGCCTGAAGGTTGCATTAGGGGTTGTAAGAGAGACAGTGAAGAAAGAAAATAGTCTGTGGTTTAAAATGAACCAAGAGCAGTCACGGAGCAATATGTGGTACAAAAATATGTCAAAAGGGGGACAGAAGAAGAAATGCCAACAGAAGCATTTTTATACTAAATGTCCCCTTAGCACAAAGAGAAAAAGCAAAGACTGAGCTTGACAAGGCTGAAAATAAATTTAACAACCCCAGACAAGAAATGCAAAATGACCTCAGCTACACTGATTTGAGTAAGCAGTGGTAGAGATACGGCCAGAATGAAAAAAAAGTGGGTTCTTTCAAGAATAAAAATTTCTGAGGACCATAGAAACAGTGATGTTTATAATGAAAGAGCTCTGAATGGGTCTATAATCCATACAGAATCTTCTTACAATGGGACTTGCGGCAATTTCACTGGGCAGGTTTCTTAAATAGCACCATGTGCTGTGTTTTTTAAACCACAGAGACACTGAAGTATCTTCTCTGCATGTACCCCTGCTACACTGTTAACAAATCCATTGAGAAGCCCCTTTGGATCTTGGAGACTTTTAGAGACAAAGGGCTTCCTGTTTCTCAGGTTGTCAGCAAATAGATCAGCTTCAAGGTGTCTGGGTGCTCCACCCTCTGGAGGTTACTGGACTTGAAAAAGATTTGAAATCACGACTTCTGTTTAACTTCCATATAACAAGAAATCTTAAGTGGTTTTAATGGTGGAGAAATTTTTGGCTCACCGTTTTAATTTAATCATAAGAAATCTGCAAAAAAGAAAGAGTCATTGATATCATTAGCTTTGTACAATTTTCTGCCATAGTAGTGAGACCTCACATTTAATCATTCATTATACTCCGCCTATTCAGAGTCTGTGGATGCTGTGCCATTGCAATTAAGTTTTTTCCTCAAGTGACTTGCATTACTAAAAATGCATAAAAGAAAAAAAAAATCAATTAATATTCCATCTTGCATGTGGTACTTGTTCTTTGGGGAAAAAAGAAAGACTGCAGATGTTGCAGACTTTGCAAGTATTTCGAACTTAATGAGATTTCAGAAGCATTTCAAAAGTAATTCTGTCTTTTCTTTGATTTTGACCCATGAGAATTTGCTTTGGGTCCCTATGAAAAGGAAACCTGAAGTACTTTTCAGCAATAGCTGAAGTATTAGAAATCCCGTAGACTGCATTCTACAGCAACTTTACATTATTTATATGCATCAAATATTCCATCAGTTGAAAGTTTTGGCCATGATGTCATTCATTCAGTTCTGAATGAGAACTAGTTTCAATGTGTTTCCCATTAAGAAAGCTGTTTTTGGTGATTTAAATAAACTTTCAGTTTTATTCTACTTTATAATTACGCAACTATAAATTGATCAGAATTGAAATGGGAGTGCCCAGCTCTTAGATTTTTGTATAAACATTTTAAAAACTATACCTTGCAGATGACTGGCATAAAATAATGCCTTCAGGTGTCCTGGGCAATCTTCTCCATGGCCCTAACAGACTGTTTCTACCAAAAAAAAGCAACAAAAACTGAACGCTCCATCAAGTCTCATTTTTCTTTTTGGAGAATGAAGAGGAAAGAAAAAACATTAGATAGGAGGGGAGAAGGAGGAGAAATCTACACAACTTCAGCTCTGTGCCTGGAGCATCAAATCATGAAAGGCGTTCTTTGCATAATAACATCTTGATTTTGAGAGGAAAAGTAGTATCCATGGTAAAAGTTAAAAACAGACTGTTATGTGTATGGCTGTCTGCAAAGTTCCTATAAGACATACCACATTTTGCTGCTGCTAATAACAGATCTGTATTTTCTACTAAAAATAAAAACGGTGTTTTGCTGTTCTGGCAAACTCTCGAGCTTCTTAGAACACAGGCTGGGGAGTTTATTGGGTGGGTAGGTTGCTATGATACTAAAAAGAAAATATCGTCTTTCTTAGTTCTAAGAGCTTTGTCCAAAACTCTATTTACTATACATTTTACATACTGATAAACATACTTGTAAATTAAATATTCTTGTAATTTTTTCAATGTTTCTTTTTATTTGTACCTTTTGGGCCCCAAATTTCCAAGACATCTCTCTTCAACTTCACAGATTAGAGTGTCAGTACTGCTCATTTTCAACTTCTGCAGAGATCTCTATTGCTGTTAACATATTGGAAATCACATCTGCTGTGAAGAGGGACTTGCTGGCAGACCAAAAGGCAAAAGAAATTTGCAAGTAAGGATTACTCCAGTTGTAACAATCTCCTATCCTGCTGCCATTCCCACTCTCCGGTGTTTCTGTTAGAAAACTGAGAGCAAAATACGCCCATCGTTAGTAATTTCTCAAAACAAATAGCTGTTTCATAATGACATTTGAACATAAAAATTGAATGCTGCAACCAGTGGAATGGGAGTGGCAGTACAATGGAACATCCAATCTGTCTGTGACATACATTCCTTATGTGGGTGCCAAGTTTTATGTGTCAAGAACTACATTACTGTCTGATACACATTTTCATTTAAGAGAAAAAAATAGAATCTTTTACTTGTATTCCATAAACTAAGTTTTCTAAACGTATAACATGATTTGACCTTGATTTGTTTTAAGGTCCACTCTCAGATTGGTTATTTATTGGATGTTTCTGTCTTGCAAGAAATGATATTTCTTTTTAAAAGACAATGACTTGCTATAACTAATTACTGTTATCTAATACAAGCCATCATTCTTCAGGGCATGAGTCAACCAAATCACTTTGTAAAGGAATAAATGTTCCCTATTGAGTTTATATTTCCTTCTAAAAAATTCAGATGTTGTTCTTTGTTTGAGATAGTGCAGCAAATGGACACATCCTGTGTGAAAAAAACCTGTCTGCTAAACAAATGTGACTTAAGAGAATCTCAAAATTAATATGCGTGCTTTATACCAATCTCTTTAGCTTACATGGTACAATTAATTTCAAAATGCAATTAACTTGAGTATTTATTTGCTTAAACAGTGTGTTTTTGACCATTATACGACGAAGAACAAGGTCACCTGATTTATCTTCTTTATACCATCCATACTGCAGTAACAATTCAGATTGAGAGCTGAAAATCAAAATTGCATAGTTATTTTTATCTGCAATGTTAATGAAACAAGTGAAAAATCGTGTCTTGTTGCCCATGTTAATTCTGTTGTCTGTGATATTTCTTCAAAGAGGTACTACACCTCAGCTGTTTCTTCCCTCTGGGCCACTTGTACCTAAATCAATCCTCTCTTTGATCTGTTTGAGAGGATATATGGAACACTCCACGTAGTTAATCGTATATGCATCTCCTGGATAAAATAGAAGAAAACATTAAATAACTTTATACATGAACATTAACAAAAATGCACAAGTTTTTATTTACATATGCTACATAAGTAGCATGCCTCAAAACACATGTTGCATGAAAATATGCAGAAACTTAGGAACATTTCATAAGAAAAAGAATTTGCTAATTCTTGAAAGTCAAACACAACATTGAAAATTTTAGGTTACGACTACCATTCTATCCACAACAAATGATCCTCCTCTGGCAAAATATGGAAGGCAAAACACTATGAAAACGTGGAGACAAAATGGAAAATTGAGCTCTAATGAAAAAACTGATAGCCTAAGAACATTTTTCAGTTACACATAGAAGGAATGCACCTGTCTTCTCCTTTACTGTGGTAAAACAGAAATTAGGATCCATGCCAGTCTTATGTGAGATAGTTAACATATACACAGATCTTACACATGCACATAACCTGCTTTTCATAATTTTCCACTGAGGGAACTGAACTAACGAAAAGATCCATTTGGTAGTGGATATTTCCAACTAAAATACAGGATTTGTCTTTCAAAAGACAAATCAAAATTTGTCATTGGCACTCCTCCTTTTCAGGGTCTTGTTTATTTAATAAACCTCTGACACGATCAGAATAAGACAGTTACATCAAAGTTACTCCTCAGTGAGTCATTCTGCCTGTGACTTTTTATTTCAGCCTCTCTAGAATAACCCATCCCTATGTTGCAGAAATGAAAACCAGGAATCATCTGCATTTCTTCTTATTATGTTGTTAACTTTCACTGAATGGAGGTCTCAATCAGTGATTACAGTCCTCTTTTTACTGGGCATTTACCCAGTGTAATATTCTAAGACATAATCTTTCTCATCTCTCTCAAGATAAATTATACTTTTTTTTTTGTTACAATGCTCTTTGCTATTCAGTTGCCTTTACAGCATTTAATGCAGTAACTTGGGAAAAACAAACATGAAAGTGCTATCAAAGACTGAAGTGTCTACATCCATTCAGGAATTACAGTGAGCATATTCTGTTGTCATTCCTTGCCTTGCAAGACATCACCTCACTTATTCAATCACCAGGATTAAAGGCTATTAAATCATCATCTTAATTCCTTTTCATTATCTATATCATATGGCATAAAACTATTATTCTGAACATGAGATACAATTCCCTCTTTGTTGCCAGAGCCGTGCAATTACGTATATATAATGTTCTTCAAGCTGTGCTCATTTCTAATTCCCAGAAACTCATAAAAACATCTGTAGAATTAATAACTTATTCATATTACACAGAAATGAAGGAAGAAAGGGAAGAAGGGAAGAAAATCTCCATTGATTACTTTCACTAAAGTGCTGGCTGTGAAGGTTTGAAGAAATGATTTTCTCTTGGGATCTTTTACAAACTATCCTTTTGCTTCCAGAATAACCATTAATACACATGCACCCCTCTTCTTCTCTTTTCTCACAGACCCATACTTTTTTTCTCTTTTCTATTCTTTTTCTCACTCATCTCTTCTTTATCCTTTATCTATTTCTTTGTCTTCTGTTCTTTCAGAATAACTTCCACTGTTCAGATTCTACCTTAACTTTAACTTTGGGTGGCCCTATTGCTTTTTAATCAGGATACAGAGCATGAGCATCACAATTCTGCAGATCCTGCAGGGAACAGCCTGCACTGCAAGATGACTTGCACTGAATAAAATTGAGCTGCTGGAGAGGAGGGAAAAGAGAAAAGCAAAAATAACCCCTTTCTTTCATTCTGCATCAAATGCTTCTTTCTCACGTTCTAGTCTGAAGATTATCATTAAATATCTCATTATGTTCTTTGGTCTGGATGTAGCAAGCATTTAGATACCAGCTTAATCTTAAGCATACAGTTATTCAGAGTGTTTTACCTAAATGGATTCCCTGCTGTCCTGCTCTTGCATAAATATTCTTAATCAGTTGAGGTGAATTACAAGTTTAATACAGGTACTGAAAGAGATTCTATATACTTAACTTTCTGAGAATAGACATTTCTTATCATAGTTTGGAAAATTACAAAAATAAAACTGCCTATTAATTATTAAAGTTTAATTACATTTGCTAGAGGATTTTTAATCATTCAAGTCAACAACTCGTATGTTAAAAGCTGAACATATTTTGAAGATTTCATCTTCTGATAGTATAAGTTAGCACTAAGCCAAAGTATTTCCTGGCTTTTTTTTTTTTTTTTTAATTATAAAGCATTCATACTTAAAACTGATCTAGAGAGCTAAAATTCATTGTCATTCCCTTTATGTATCATGCCTGTAACTGTATAAAGAGCATAAGGGTTCTTCATGGAGAAGGTTTCATACAGATCTTATATAGCAAAAAGAGAGTACCATAAAATTGTCTACCATTTTTATCTCTTCCGCGGGGACAGAAAAAGTCCTGCTAGGATGTGATGTACTTTGCCAGCTCTTGTCAGAGCTGAATTATATATCAAACATGCTCTGACAGCAAAATGTCGCTCTTGCTTTCCTCCATAATATATAGCAAGTAGCACTATGGCCACCTACAGAACAAGCCAAGAAGCTTCTTTCTTTCTGGAAGAGTCAAATAAAGCTGGTTTTACATCCTGGATAAAACTAGAAATATTCAAAACCTCTTTCCCTAAATTCCTCCTCCCTTTATATTCAGTACTTCTGTGAACTTCATTCATTAGGACTGGAAACTTGTAAGCAAGCCACTAGGAATAAATATAACATATGTTCCAAGTATGGTATTATCATCCATTCAAACTCTGTGATTAGAATATAAAAGTGCAGCAGGTCAGGCCACAGGCAAGAGCCTCAATGAGGTTTTCTAACTTCTGCTTGAAACACTCTTATTTGTTATGAGGTAGTATATGCTTGAGATGACAAAGTGAGGCAGCCCTTCTCCAATGCTTTCTAATGACATGAGAGAACTTCCAAGGCATTCAAGTCTCTGTTCTTTCCTGTTCTCTGAACAGAACCCCAGGATCTCACACTTCTGTTTCCAACTTTCTTTTTTCATGTTTTCTAAATGTCACTAGCATAAAAATGTAACATAATTACCAAAGAGACTTATTAAATTTTCACTAGATATTGACCTGAATATTGTTTTAGGTTTGGATCATCTGCCAATGGATAAAACCAGTTATTCACACAATTTTACTGTGTTTGTTGTCGCAATAATGCATGACTAACTTCCCAAAAATAGAAAACATGCATTCCTCCCTCAGTTCCAAGGACCTGACATAACCCCCACATTTCATGAGAAATGCATACTTTGATTCCTGACTGGCTTCCAGCATCCCTCAAGAAAATAAAATACATCTGTTTTATATAATGACTAAGTACTATAAGCATCAAAGAGTTTCAACCCACTGGAGCAACCAAAGTAACAGACGCCTACCTGAAGAACAATTTTCAAACAGCAATCATACCATTGTTGACCTCTCAGATCTCAATTCTGCACTTACATGACTCAAAATGTACCCGGGCCCCCTCCCCCACTGCCACTTTTTTGTCTGCCTCTGTCTTTTTGTTTCCATCTCAGCAGTATCCTCTGACACTGCTCACTACACAGTCCCAGTCACAACAACACAGTCCTAGGGGTAGCACAGAAATGGTTCTACACAGCCAAGCAGGACCTCAAGCCAGAGCCTCACAGCTGGACCTCCAAAAGCACTTACTGACACTTTTAAGGCAAGTATAGGAGAAAAAATTCTAACTAAATTGCACCAATTGGAAGAAAAACTGTCTCTTGTATCCATAGCAATTTCTCCCACCTCTACTAACCACCCCTCCCTCTCACAAACCTGAATTCCTCATCAGTATCCCCTAAACTGTGTAAGTTTAACACAGCATGGTTAGAGCCAGGACATTTGGTCCTATTTAACTGGTATTTGGTGTCTCTGCTTTAGATTTGAAAAGAGCTATATCTGAAAATCTGTCCGAAGTTTTCAGGTACAGCTGTCTTTCTAACAATGGCTGTTAGATGATCTTACAAATCTTGACTTTTTTACAATACCCAGTCCCTGTATACAATGCATAAAGAGAAGGTGAAGACGGAAACTAAAATTTCCTTTGTTTCTCATACCAGAGAAAAGAAACCTCTGGTCTCATCTCCCTTACTCTGGATGCTTTGTACTGACAAGCTACAATAAGCAAAAGAACATTTCTCCCATGTTGTGTTTGGATTTTCCTCACAGAAATAGGACACACTATTTTGCACAATTCATCACTAGCAATAAGTGGATTCTGTTTCCTGTTTCCAGAAGAGTGCTCTGATCACAATGTTGTTTCATAGAATCACAGAATCACTGAGGTTGAAAGGGACCTCTTCCCAGTGAAGAACTGTAAAAAGATATTCCTGTCGTATTTCCAAGAAGCTATTTCCTGATAAGGGCAACTAAGAGGGACTGACTGAGGTGTTTAGATAAGTAATATTGAGCTGAAACAGTCAGTTTCAGCCAAAGAAATAAAATCCTACTGAATTTGAGACTGTAGAACTAAGGCCTGAATTGTCAGGATCATTTGTATAAATCTTAAGCTTAAGTACAATCAAAAAACTATCTGTTAAGAACACAGGATGTGTCCCACCACGACTGTAATCTACAGTTAACCATTTTCACAGCCCAGTATTTAGTGTTACCTAAATGTGAATATGAACATAAAAATTAATCAAATTGCAAATGAGGAAAAGAATGGTTTATTTTAAAACTAAACTCATTATTTCTGTGTTATTTCTTGCTTTGAATTGAGATACAAAAAAATCTTTTGCCCTATTTTTAGCCTGCCATTCTGCAGGATTATAGAAAAAACACCATGTTAAGTGTAAGCCTTGAAAGTCATGCTTATCCAAGTGTAATTTTTCCACCCTAGGTTCTAATAATCAAGGACTTTCCGTATCTCCAAAAATGTGTTCAGGAGATGAGGTGATTTCAAGCCAAAAAAACTCCAGAGTCTCCATATCAAAGAAATCAAGACGGACTGGGGGAAAAAAGCTGTTCTTCTTATGCTTTATTCGTATTATTGTCAATTAAGATTTGATTAAGATGGTTACTTTAAGTGTGTAATTGTCTGTTTCTTCCACTAGCAAACAAGGAAACCTAGTAACTCAAGAAGAAATATACAGTGGAGTGAAGTGAAAATGCAGTCTGTCTTTCCCTGTGTGTATATGTAGATGGAAGAACATGACTACTCCTTTCTAGGTGAACATGTGTACTTCAGATACGATCTCCCACTTGGCAAATAAAATGTGAATTCAAGAGTGGAAGGATTGCTTTCTATACTGTGTAGCTGGGGAAGATTTAGAGAGACTAACTGCACAACCTATAGCTTCCGCTGATTTGTAAAGGAAACAGGTAACTAAGTAGTGAGAATTCAGTTATCTCACTAAGAACTGTCATCTGGGCTCCTGTGCCATGCGATAACATTTTGAAAACAAGCAGGGAGTTTGACTCATGGTTGGTAGATATAAACCCTCTGGATTCATGTAAAAATAGAGCACTTAAATGGGCAATCTGAAAACCCCATACTCATACAGGGCATTTTTTTTCAATTGTTCTTATTTCTGCTGTTCACCTACAAGTCTCATGTGACAGAAAGGATGTAGCAGCTAATGCACATAGAAGATGTTGCTTGTTCTGAAAAAATCCATCTGAATTTTACATATCTTTTGGTACTTGGAAGTATATTTAAAGTTAAACCAAACACATTTTTTGGAATGACTTTGATTTATACGGCTGACACCCTATAGTTTTTGCATTACAATTCATCTGTATTACCACTGTGTCAACAATGGAGATGGAATGGTAATTCAATGTTTACTTAAGCACATAATTGCAAAACTTACTTTAGAGTTCTGTAAACCTACCCCCTTGTAAAATAGAGCTCATCTTCTGCAATCAGGTAATAGGCCACTGATATAAAAGTCTATTAAGAACAGAAGATACAACAAATTCCTATGGAGCAACTTTCATTTGCATTTCTCTGAATTCATCAAAATGGTTCTTGCACTGAAATGCATTGTAATGGTTAATGAAAGCTCTCTCAACTAAAAGAACATGCAGCACCCTCAGCCAACACAACCTCAACAAGAAAACAAACCTCGGCCTGAATAAATAATTATGCAAACTCATATGCAGAGAAAGACAACCAAGTAAATCTTGTGCTTTGTATGCACGATCATGAAGTGCAATTTAGCACCACAAAGCACCAAATCTCTGAACAAGCTCCAAAGCAAAATAAAGAAGCAAAATAAAGAATCAAATACTTATAGTAGAACTGTGCTGAATCCAGGCTAATTACTCTTACCATTCAGCAGAGATAACTTGCCCTGGGAAATCTATATACTTTGAAAAAGTATCAGAGTCAAACTGCAAAGCTCCTTATTGCACTTCCTTGAACTTTGACCATCCATCAACCAAGTATAAATTGTACTGCTACTCTTTTTTCTATTTTTCTTCTAATACATAATCATATATACTGCCATACATTGCTGATGGACAGAACTGGGGCTTTGTGTTTCCACTCTTTTTAAAGTATTGCTCTTTCTCATATTTATGTAATAGTTGAAAGTCCAAAAGTCAGCAATACTTCATTTTCTTCTCTTGCTTGACTTATTAGATATTTTCATGCTTCAATTGCCAAAGAATATTAAGCTTTCTCAGTCTATCCCCTTTCTCTTTCTCATCATTATTTTTGCATAAGCTGCTTCATCAATCTTCCCTTGAGCCATAAATTTTAATCTGCCTGGGGTTTAAAATTGCAGTGAGATGGTCAGTTCTTCTAAATGCCCTGCTTAGCACAAGTATGACCTACGTATACATCTAACTCCTTCCCTTATGTCAGAAGTCTTCAAACCTCTCAGTTTATCCCAGATAATTATTTCTGCAGTTATAGATTAATTGGGTTGGAAGGGATCTTCAAGACTGTCTAGTTCCAACCCCGCTGTTATAGGCAGGAATACCTCCCACTAAACCAGGTTGCTTAAAGCCCCATTCAGCCTGGCTCTGAATGCTCCACAGCCTTTTTTGACAACCTGTTCCAGTGTTTCACCACCCTCACAGTAAAGAATTTCTATTTAAAGCCATTTTGCTTTGTCCTGTGGCTACATGCCCTTATATAAAGTCCCTTCCCAGCTTCCCTGTAGGCTCCCTTCAGGTACTGGAAGGTCGCTATTAGGTTTCCTCAGAGTCTTCTCCCAGCTCTCTCAGCCTGTCCTCATAGGGGAGGTGCTCCAGCCCTCTGACTATCTTCATGGCCCTTCTCTGGACCCACTCTATATGTATCTAATCTCTTACCTAAAGATTTTTGCTGCACTATTTACTTGTATACTCATACAACAGGGAAAATTCTTCTTCATCTTTCTGCTATAAAAACCATTTCTTACAATGCATAAGCAGTCACTGAGGAGAGGATGTCAGTCCTAAGAGTCTATGGGATGATAAATAAAACCATAGATGATTGAATTGTTATTTAATTTAATTAACTAGACTTGCGTTCTTAAAACTGCATAGTGTGCAGAAGATTATTAGACATCACTATGGCTTAGGACTAATGCTAATTAAATAAGAATAACATGTAATCAAAACTGAGACCTGACATGGGGAATCTGACTTACAATATAGATTCAACATTGTCTGGGTAAATGTGCTTTCTGTGTTTTCTTTCATTAGAAGTGAGCTGTCAATAGCACCACTGTCTGCTCCTTCTGTCCTGTGTACCTCAGATACAAGAAGCCCAGCCCCAAAGATGGAAAGGCAAGTACAAAATGTGCTTCACCACTGAACAGAAGTAGTCAGTTCCAACAGATTACTTGACAAAAAGTGTAGAAATCCACATTCAGAAACTTTTTATATCTATAACAACCATATTTTGATAGAAAATTCAGGGTTTTTTGTTACCCTCTAAAGGGTTCACAGGTATGACAGATATGTTCACTTGAGGGTAACGGATACAGCCAGAAAAATAAACACCCGAGTAAAAAATTTGTCAAGGTGCATTAAAAACAAGGTTTGGATGACACTCTGGAAATGTCAAGTATTTCCTACTTTGAAAAGTGAACAGTCAGGTATTTTTTTTGGTTTTGTTTGTTTGCTTGCTTGTTTGTTTTAATAAGTGCAGAAGGTTCTATTCCATCTAATTGCCCCAACCAGAAAGAAGATAGAGTAAAAAGTTTTAAAAAATCATTTTGGAATCAGAACTTTCCAGTTTTTTGTTTATAAGTAGAGCTTTTGTACAAATTGATCTGCATTTTATCAAGAGAAATTAATGAATACTTTCCAAACTTTCAAAAATAATTCATTTAGTCAAAAAATATTTTTTCAAAATTTTGATTTGCCCATTGACCTTTTTAAAACTTTAAAAACTTTAGCTCAAATGCTAAGAAAAAAAAACTCCCTAACATATTTGTACTTTTTAAATATCCTTAGTGAACACAACATTATTCATTCTCCTTTTAAATGTTTACATTCTAAAAATAAAGAACATTTTAAAAATCCACTTTGTTTCATATCTGTTTACTTTCTATGTTGGCAGAAAAACTGCAAAACACAACAGCTAAATCTCTTACAGTGCCATAACTAAAAGAATTACCAAGTACGTTAATTTTACTGATATCTCTGTGTACTTATTGCTTATTTAGAGATATTTTTAAAATTATTTCTTACATTCTTATAAATTTAACAAGTATTCCTTCAAAACAAAATTGGTCCACACTTTTGATAGCTAACAGCAGAATGCGTACTTTCTGCAAATTGACATAATCTTTCTTACTGTCTACTGTGCTTTGAAAAGCCTTTGATTCATGCAGAACATTTTATGCACTGAATGATAACAAATTGGACAACAGAATTATCCCAGTCAAAAATGCCTATTGACTGCACTTCAGAAAGAAGATGCATAAGCAACACTCTTCAAAAAGGCAGATCTGTACTTTACAAAACTGATCTTATCATTTGAACACAAGTCCATAAACCATTTCAGCATTGCAGTGTAGTAAACTGCTAGCAGTTGGTTTTAATATTTAAAGTCTACTGTACATTCTTACCTAATTTGCAAAAAAAATAAATATAGACTAGATTTTTTCTGTGAAAGAAGCCAACACACGCATGTGTAAAACCTATTATTTTAACCTCTGTGTTCATCTGTCACTTCCATTTCATCTACAAAGAAATAATTCATTTCAGTGTAGAATCACTTACTATATGATGTCTTAGAAATTTTACTTGTTTCTTTTGCTCCTGCAATCCAGCTTAAGGAAAGAAATATAACTGTATCTCTATCTGAAACATCATTCTTACCTCAACAATACCATGTATCCAGTGGCCTTAAGATGTTTTACAGTGCTACAAGTAGAAATGAAAACTTCAAGAGTGTTATAGTTAATAAAAAGATCTCTGCTTATGCAGTATCCAAGTCCGTCCCATAACTATATTTTTTAATCTATCAGAAAGAGGAGAATGTCTGGTCCAAGAATAAAGCTTAGTTCATTCATAACGGCAGTTTATTCTGTAGTACTACCAAAAGATTACATTCTTAAAAACATGCTAAATCCTTTTCATTAAATTCATGGGACGTAATCTAGATTTTTGGTTGAATAAATCCAATGGCACTTGTTAGATGCTTAATAAAGCAACTTTTTGTATCAAAGCATATACCAATTAATGGGCTGCTTTGACAACATAAACAACTGTAAATAGTAAAGCTGTTAAAAAAATTTATTGAAAAAATGTGTGTCTCACTTACCAGGCAGATATGAGTCATTCCACCATGGGTGTCCCTCATGCTCAGAAAACACATTTAAGAGGCATGAGTTCTCTGTCCATAATCTTGTTTGCACTAACGGATTGTAGATGGTCATCACAATGTTGTAAGTGTGCCTCTGAAATACTGCAACTGGGGGTCTCTCTATCAATCAGAGCACAGAAATAGCAACTGAAAACATTGCTGTAATTTCCTAATGATCTAACAGTATTCTTATTGTTTACGTTGGAGACTTCCCCATAGCCAGACCAGACCAAAGTGCAGAGGGTCTTCACAAGTGATAGTCTTGAAACAGAGTGATGTGTTCCAAATAAGCTGCTATTTCAAGTCCCATTATTTATTGTAAGATTACCCTACCCATCTCTTTTCCGAGTGTTTCTCCCAGGATAAATTAATTTGCATCAGATGGTCTGGATTACACTGATACAGAAAAATCTCTTATGGAATGGAAAAGAAACAGCAAGTCCTGGCATACCCTCTGTGGCCTGTATGCTGAGACTGTTCTTGGTTTTGGAGTATTTCACCAGTGCACACTGACCTTTGAGAAACCAGTGTCAATGACATAAATTCAGAAAAATCTGACCTGAACTTCTTGCAGTCCCTTTTAGCTATAAACTAGATTTAAAATAAAATGATTTAAGTTCTGCTGGAACATTTGACTTATATTTTTTAGTTCAGTAGATTTATCCTTCATCTTGTGTGAAGGTTTACATAGTACAGCCAGTCCCACACATGTGACAGCTGTGAGTCAGATTGCTGGAAATAATGAAAAAAAGCTTTAATATCAGGAGGATTTTTGTTCAGAAAAAAACTACTTACAAATACTAATGGTAGCCTGTACCCTGTAGGATGGCCATGGGTCGTGTTTTTCAGCTTTTTTTCCTGCAACCACTAGAGACAGAAATGTACTTTTTATGTATAAAGGTGACCTTCCCCTCCAGTCCTACAAATCTAGCAGATGCAGCTTTAGAAGCAATACCAAACATAGAAAATCCTGTACAAAACTAAAAGACAATCAATATGAACCAAGTATGAAATCTGTGTGTCAATATCAACTGTATTTTTGAGGATGCTATCAGTTATTTATGTTACTGACATTTTTTCATTAGGTAGTACCTGAAAGCCAACTGAGATGAGTTTCTATTGTATTATGCAGAGTAATATAATGTAAGAGCTCAGAAACAGTAGAATGAGTTGCAAAAGCAGTACATTTTTTGCTTTCAATAAATGGCTGGCAATTCTCCAAAAAGAAGCTGTGCTACCACTTTGAGATAGTTTGGTACTTTTTCCTTGTATGCCTCTGTAACCTAAGGTGAGTTTCCATTTACTTAATGTCACATTGAAAACTTTGTTAAGGGCAAAAGGGAACACATCAAAAACATTCAAAATTTACTGCTAACATAGCTAACGTTTTAATAGATTAAAAATCCAAATTGTCTAATTCATAGAAAATAGTAATATTATAGGAATAAAATATTCATTACACAGTGCTGTCTCACTATCCAAGCAATTGTCAGGCTTAGTCATTGCCCTCTGCCCTGCTGTTAGTCCAAGCTGCAGCCAGGTTGCAGGGTGGCAACTACCAAGTGCACTGCCAGGGACAGAGCAGAACTTTCTCATAGTGATACCAAAGGTCACACTTAACAAGCTAGCACAAGTTATTCACACCTTTATGTTAGTCATTTTTCTGCCTGTTTTACCTTCTCTGCATTTTTCTTCATTATTTTAGCTTTATTATGATTTTGATTGGATTTGAGATTTCTAAACAAAAACAACTGCAGAAAAGTAAAAAAAAAAAAGTTCCTAGTATAAATTTCTGGTACTTGCAGAAGAATGGAATGACTGAACCAGCTAAAGAACGAGTAAGAATAAACAAATAAAAAGTCTGATGATGATATTTTGAGATTGAAAAATCACTCATACTACAAACCCTGATTTTGTATTGCTGATGTTGATCAAACCGGCAGATAGAAGACTGTCCAGTCTATCCTGTGTGCACAAGACAGGACCGCTTATATCATGCTGCAAAATAGCAGTAAACAGAGACAGAAGTTCCTTGACTGTATCCTCCCACTGCTTTAGTCTCTTGCTGTAAATGGAGGCCATTTTTCAATCCATAACTTTCTCTAAATCTTTGGTGCACATCTCTCTCCACCTGCTTGACTGCTGCAAGTTTTATGAAGACCAACACCTACCTGGAGATTATGGAGTTGTAGTAGGATAATAAGATATTACTTATCCTCTGCTCCGCAAGAGCCCATAGTAGCTGGGACATTATTATGCACAGTCCACTTCGGTTGCATCCTGACCAAACATTGGAGAGAAACAACTCAGAATTTCACCCTGTCCAATCCTGAGCAATTTAAACAGGAAGGAAATAGTCACACTTTATTAAAGTGTAGCCTAAGCTGGCTTCAAGGGTACCATGTGCAGGGCCATGTTCTTACAGCTCCTCAAGATGAATTCTCCTCCAGCTCCTTAACTCAGACCCAGACCACAGTACCCAAGTTGGCTTTAAGTCTCACCCTCAAGAGTGAGCCAAAGTGTTTGGGGCCTTTACAGGGACATTCAATGGTTGTGGTGCATGTTTATGTGAAATATCGTGGAGTTCTACACGTAAGGATTTGTTTCCTCCGCTGTTGTCTTAACCTTACCTTTGTCACATGGAAAAGTGTAGCTAAACATACTTACCAGTGATGAACTCTCTGAAATCTACAAAAGAAGATGCTAATTTAATTATTTATGATTATTTCTCAGCTATGCACATAAGGTTAAAGTATCTTTTCTCAGATCTATTGAACATACACTTTCTCAGATGGCTACTGAATGCAAGGCAAATTAGAGCAAAAGTGCCATCTAGTGACTAATCTCTTGAAATTCGAGATATTTTAGTATTCATGAAAGTATTTCTCCTTTTCCTGAAATATTAGCTGGTCATGCTGTGGACATTAAAGAAATCAGAGGCTTGTTGAAAGCCATCCTAATATTTCTGTAGACATATAGAAAAACTTCACTGTAGAGAAGTATACATCCTTTTTCTTTATTCAATTTCTTTTTCATGTTTATAGCTACGTCAGTTGCTCCCATCACCTTATTTTGCCCATCTTAAAGTTTTGGATTCCCTGAAATCCAAAGTTTTGGCATATGTGGGTTCATACACTATGTCCAGTATGCAGAATTTATCAACTGCTCACCAGAGTTCTAAGGACAAGATAGTTCAGAAAAGTAGCTGCATTCAGTGACTGCCCACAGATTTATGTCTTCAAGGCACCTGTCAAAGCAGTCAGGTCCCAGAAAGTCCAGAAGAGAGGAACAGCCCTCAAATTGACACATCTTTGCCTTTCTCCTTCTGTTTCTTCTCAACCCCCTCATAGTATTCCACTGTTCTCCTCTCTCCTACCCACATGATGCAAAATAACTCTTTCACATCTCCACTGCACAACTTCACTAAAAAAAACCTCTTATAAAAATCAATAAACCTTAGCAACTATAACATATCTTTAAATAACTCTAATAAACATATAGATATCTATTACACATTTTTCAATACAAAGACTGCAGGAAAAGCAATTAATTTACTGCTCCCGAAAATGCTTGCTTAGAAATACGTAAAAATTCACATCTGCTGTTATTGGTACCTTTTATACAAGGTGGAAATTTATGTGTTATAATGCAGATATTTCATAAATTATATGAGTTAATAATAATTTTCAAAAAGAAACCTTCATACATACTGGAAATTAGACAGGGAATAAGTATCCACATTTTAATTTTACAGTTCTTCTACTGGAAGGACTGTCAGTGTGAATGAATTTCATTCTATCCAGATCCTTCCTTGCTTTTCAGAGTCTGCAATGCAGCTTTCATCATGTCAGAATAATTCTTTTTCACAAAATAAACAAATCTTATACCTTATAGCTTATAACAAATGATTCCCTTCCCTCCCTCTCTAAAAGCATGAATTTTGTACATCTTTATACCATAAGAATTTTAGATTCCTGCAAGATCACCCAGTCCAACCATCCACCTACCACCAATATTTCTCCACTAAAGCATGCCCCTTAGTATCACATCTAAATGTCTCTTGAATGCCTTCAAGAATAAGACAATGCATTTCAGACTCAGTCGTAAGGCAGAGCATCAGCTGTGAAAGAAAACACATTGCAACATCAATTTAATGGAAAACTGGTTTTGTTTAGTTTACAGTCTTATTAAAATGACTACAAACTGAAGAGTCCACTGAAGCAACTCCACAGCCTCCTTTACTTTACAATGAACAAACTGCCCTCCAGAATATCGTTGTGTGTATGAAGTGTCTCCTCTGTGCCTGAACAAGACTGTAAATTTCTCAGAACAGGGACCTTATTTGAACAAAGCCTCCGGGCAGACTAATGCCAACATTCCTCCAAAAGATTTCTGCTGATCTGGTATAAGCGAGATGATGTGCTTCATTGATTTTCAGTAGAAATAAAGTAGAATACAAAACAGAATATAAAACACCGCCAGAGACACTTGCCATTAATCAAAATAACAACTAAAGCACTGAAGTTTATGTTCTGTGATAGCACAAGAAGGGGAAGATTTGAAGTATAAGGCCAGATTTTTCTTCAATGAGACTAAAAGAAGTTTTAAGATGTTGCTTTTTTCTCCTAGTTATTTTTCCCAAACAAGGGAAAGGAAAAGGAAGGAGAAAAAGAGGCCATAAACTGCCTCTCATTTACTGTAAGGTACCTACTGATAACAGAAAGACTAAGCAGGATCACACTTATTAACACAGATTCTGATTATATTATTATCATAAGAAAGCATTAGAGGTTCTCAGTTCGGCTCTGATATTTCTTTAGCAAGTATGAATTCAGCTCAAGGATTGGCAGATGAATATTGCAGATGGTCTCCTGCTGGCTCTTTATTTGAGAATTTTAGTCTCTGTTTTCACAGTGACATATTTCCTTCGTTTCTTCAGCAGCTCTTCTCCAGAGTCTTCATTCATTCCCCTTGAGAATAGAACTACACTTTAATGCCAGAAATATTTCTCCTTCTTGTGTTGCATTTGTGCTTTCTATTTTTTCCTGTCCACTCCCAGCCTCTTTTTTAAGTCCATGAGTTTTTGACAGCACGTCAGAGGATTGCTGATATTTTAAACCAGGTTTGGATTAATCAGAGCATGAAGATAACTTCAATTTTATCTCGCATTTTACACCTGCATTTTGTTGTTTTAATGTGTGTCTCCCACCTTTGCCTTTTGGGCCTCTGAACAGCTGCAGCCAGCACAAGGGTTCTCAAAGCAGGGATCTAGAACACCAAGAGAGCTCACTCATGACAGGAGCTCTTAGTAGGGTTAAGAATTTGTACAGTTGTTCGTAACCTTGTAGTTGTGGAATTTCATTTTTCCTTGGTGATAGTTGCAAATAATGCTTTAAAAAAATAAATGTTGAACTCATTTATGGCAGCTTGTTGAGTATTTTTCCATAAATTTGACATATTTTATTTAATTACTTCATTTACTCCTTAAGACACTGCCAGCATAGACCTCAACAACACACTCAGTGTGGCTGTGAGGCAATCATAAGCAGAATTCTGGAACATATTTTCAGCAATTAAGGCAATGTAGAGTATTAAGAAACAAGTTTAGCAAAGACAAAAGCAAAAGAAAAATGTGTGTTCCCTTCTGATCCAGAAATACTTCTGGAAAACTTCTTACTATGGAAAAAAATATTTTGACTGCTGCTTCTTACATTAGTATTTTTTTTGGCTACAAAACATTTTTGTTAACTGACAGTAACAAGTAGATGAGTAGAAAGAACAAAAGAAAAAAGGAGAAAAACAAAAAGGGAAAAGTTATTATCAAGGTAAAAATCAAGAATATTATTCTGTAGCTGAGATAATTTATTTAATCAAGAGGATTATAATGTCAGTTGCGGTCTGTCATCAATGAACTTTTGGACTAGATGCCAGATTTTCCTGGCCTTTTAATACTTTCTCTTAATCACTGTTAATGTCAGTTACATGTACAGAAGATGAGGAGGTCCTGTCATCACTGAAGTAAACAAAAAATCCCCAATCTCCCTAAACACGTCTCATAGAATATTTTATGCTGGAGATGAAAGAAGTCAATGGCTCAGATGTATAATATTTTCTGACAAATCAGTGATCAGAAAGTCTGAAAGTTTGCTACTGATTTTAATTCATTCATTGTAAAGTTCATTCATTTTTTCTTTTCTACTTCTTTAATCAAGTCTTTTATGCTTCGACTAACAGGTAACACCATTTTTAAACTTTAATACTTCTTTTTTTTTTTTTTTACATTAAACATCATCCTGTTGCTCCCAGGGTTATTTCTCTACAACAACATTATGAGTCATTAAGTTATGTTCATGTTACGTAGTTTTTTCCAAAATCCAGTCTGAAAATTCAACAACTTTTGTGTAGACTCCTGGCTGCCGGGGCCGAGCGCAGCCTTCACCCCAACTGGTGATGCCCACCAGATACCACACTTCCTCGTGCCTGCATGACAGTGGTCCTCCAGAATCTCCCTGTGTCACAGGACAGAAAGACTTCACAAGGAACAGAATTTCTCTCTCAAAGAAAGCCATGATAAAATCAGCATCATCCAGTGTCAACAACACAATAACTGCATAGAGTTCAATTACTCTCACTTGAAGTTGCTTTTCACAGTGTCAAAGAAGCTTTTCTGTTTATCTGGTAGAATGGTGTCTAAATACTTTCCAGTCATGGCAAGTAAGTTCCA